TAGCAAAATTTATTTAATAATATTAATAATGATGTAATTATATGACGTTTTAAAATTGTCAAAATACATATAAACTTATTTTCATTGATATTATGTTCTTTATTAAAAAAATTATTTTTAAAATTTTGACCCCACAATACTAGAGGTCTGGGTCCGCTCTTGATTTAACCCATGTCAAACATTGTGTTTTGGTCATGAATTTAATGATGATAAAACTATAAAACAAAATCATGAGTTTGGGCTTAAAAATAAAACCCATGTGAATTAAAACATGCTTTTATTCCACCTCCCCAGTAGAAAAAAAAATAAAAATAAGGGCCTAAACTTTCAGTGCGGGCATCTCAACGTGGCTCCGCCACTGTTCGAGAGGTCCACTACTCTCCCCAAGAGACTATCGAACTCTGCCTGCATGATCCCAGCTCCCCCCCAATTACATTTATAGAGAATTTACTAGTTTGTTATTACAATTCTATCCCTTTTGCTAACTAACTATGGAATTATCTAGAATAGTGAACTAATAGCAACTTATATTGGAATATTGGAGGTGGGGGTCTATCATTATCCGCCGCCACGAAATCCACCTTGTCCTCAAGGTGGAAGTTCAACTTAGGATTCACTTGGCTGGAGAAAGATAAAGCATTTCTGGCCTCCCAAAAGTCAGTCTTTGGAAATGCTATCTTCAAGATATCAAAGCAAAAATCATGCACTGTTTCTTGCTTCAGTCGTTAGTTCAAATGAGAAAACATAGCATTGCATCCCCAGCATCAACATAAGCTGCCATATGACATAAGCTCCCTCACTCCTATGTAATCAGATTTAACAATGCATATATCGATCCTTCCTTTCTTTCTATACTTGGTAGCCCCAGCACTTACTAATGTCTTGTTCATAGGTCCCCAAACCGTTCTGTTAGTTCTTCCTTGGGGCCCGTTGAGAATGACAGCAGATTCATCAGTCTGCTCACTGCGGTCTATGGATATGTGTTTAACGTGAATACCAGAAGTTAATCCCATAAAAAGGTTGGTCGTGATGTCCACTTTGTCTTCCTCTTTCCTACCAGAATAGTTACTGATCACCAAACCCTGCAGTCCCTTATTTGTATTGTGATGCTTGATTTGATTCTTCTCCCGCCATCAATGGTATAATTGTTTCCCTCGTAGCCATGGCAACATTATACCTTTTATTGTCAACTCCATTACTCGGCCTAATCCTTGGGGCTCAAGCATTGGTTCTTCTCCGCAACTTCCTTGTTGTACACCATTGACGAGAATACTCTCCAACACTTGATCTGGGATTTTATACAAAGGCGACATCGGAATCTCAACATTCCGTCAGTAATTGGTCTGTTCTTGCCTTGATGCTCAACATTTTCCGAAGAAGTTGCACCCTTGGGATGGCCGGAATCTGTCGATCTTCAAGCCCTTCAAATTGTAAAATGACTAGGATGAAAATTTGACTAGGGATGGAGAGGGGTTGCAACGTGATTGGAGGAGAAGAGTAGTATTATCTTGGTTTTGTGTTAATATGGGTTTACCTTTTATTGGGCTAGGTTTATTTCTATCTGGGATGAGATTTATTTGGACCCGTTTCACTATCTCATTTTCCTCTTCAACTCTTTGGGCCAATTCCAAATCCAAGCCCAAACCCACTAACTTCTCCACTTTTTCTTCTTTCCTATTTTCTACCTGCAGCCCATTAACAGAGCCCTCCAAACTTCCTACCACTTCACGAGATGATGAAACAGATGAATAGGATCGCCGATGTCCTTCTTTCGCAGCATGCCCATGCCTCACCCACATCTGATTCATGGAATCTTGTATGGCTGGTGTTGGAATCTCAGAGCTCCGCCTGTGATGTTTCTCGAATTCATCTGTGACTTCAAAAATCGCCGGCTCCGGTGAGTTCTCAGTGATCTCTTTTTCCTCTCTCCCTTTCCAGCTCCACCACGGATTTCTTCTCCTGATTCAGCCTACTTATAGGGACATCTTCTACGGCATGCTCCAATCTCTTCTCCTCCTTCGACGATGATGATGGAGACACCTGCAGTTGACACGGGCATTCTTGCACAGCAGTCTTCCAGTTCTTCATGCCCGAATGCTTACACGTCGGGTATTCTTCCATCATAGAGTCCTCCTTGATAATTTTTACCTTTCCATTTTCCATCGTTTCCCGCCTCTGGTCATCCAATTTCTTCCCCAATTCCCCACACTTCCACCTTGAAAATTCTTCACGAATGGGAATCCTCTTCAGACGAAATTGATCCAACATCAAACTCTTCAATTCTTCCCACATTTTCACCGGCCTTTGTCGATCGACCTGCTGAAACGAATCCCATGCTTCCCAACCAAAACATGCTGTGATAGTTTCTATTTTCTCAACTTCTAATAATTGGTTTATGGAGAAAATCTTCTCCACTTTCGACACCCACCTTTATGTGTTTTCGCCATAGAATATTGGTATTTCTAGTCTTACTTGAGCATCCAGCCCCGAATCTTTTTCTTGGACTCCTTCCCTTTGCATTATCAGCTTCTCCAACAGATTGAAGATTGAGCTCTATCTCTCCTCCAATTGTTCACTGAAATTTGCTTCCATTGGCCCTGGGATCAATGCTCTGATACCAATTTGATAAGAACCTGGAATATTTTCAACTTACCCAACACACTTATAAAGCAATCGAATGCTGGAACAAAGCAAATTTCTCATTGATGAACAGAAATTACATAGAAATGGGTCTGCTATGAGAAGAGCAAATCTGGAATACGATTAACAAGAAAAGAAAGGAAGTAAGAAGGATATAGATATGGACATTCGAGAGGTCCACTACTCTCCCCAAGAGACTACCAAATTCTGCCTGCATGATCCCAGCTTTTTCCCCCATTACATTTATAGAGAATTTACTAGTTTGTTATTACAATTCTACCCCTTTTGCTAACTAACTATGGAATTATCTAGAATAATGAACTAATAACAACTTATATTGGAATATTGGAGGTGGGGGTGTAGTAGCCGAGAAAAAATAAAATGGAATTATACTATTATTTTGTGATAATCTAGCACCACGAGCCTAACCCATTTTAGAAACGACCTATGTAAGCTCAACCCATGTAAGATTATGAAAGCCCAAGTCATAAGTCAATTAAAAGCCCAGCAATTTAAAAGATTAAGTTTAAGTAAAATTGATTTCAAAGATTTAATGAATAACTGGATTGCCACAATGGTCATCTACATGGTATTTCATATCGGCAACCCAGGTTCGAATCACCATGTAGATTTTTTTATAAAACTTTCATATGAATTATTTTTATGGCTTAGAGACTCTCTAAATTCTTAGTTAAAGACTAAGTTTAATAAATTTAATGATAATACAACTCCCCCACTTAATTTTTCATTAAAAAGGAAGGTTATAAAAGTGAAAGGTCACTTTTTCATTACACTCCTCTTCAAATCCGAATTTCATCTCATTTTCTCTCAAAAAATATATTTCATATCAAGTTAAGCTTAAGGAATAATAAGGATGAGAAGAAGGAAGGCTTTCTATACATTTTGTTCTTTTATCCAATAAAATTCAAGGTAAATAGAGGTGCAAGTGTTCATTCATTTTCAAATCTGATTTTAAGATAAATGTTTAAATGAAATAGTACCTTCGGGTACGGTGCTTCGGCACTACAACAATTTGAATGATCATTCTCCGGTTCTACGTGTTATGATAATGCTATAGTAATTGGATTTCGCCGGAAATCCATCTACGTGCAATAGTATGAATCTATAGTTCGGAATTTCTAATTTGATAACGAATTGCACCGATAATATCTATTGAGTTTCAAACTCATGGGTTAATTCACTTCGTACAGGTTGAATGGATTTTCCTTGGGGCGTAGATGATGGTAAAAGATGATGCAACATGACATGAAGAAGCCGGTGATTTACATCTTTAGTTGATTTTGAGATATTTACACTTTCTTTAAATTCGATTCCTATGAATATTGTGTGGATCTATTTTACAAACACTCGTTATGAATAAATTATATTTGAAAGTAGATATGTGTCATAAGAATAAATTTACAAATCACCGTATAAAAAAAAAAGTTAGCGACTTAAAGTTTTGATGTCTCCTCAGAAATTTCAGTTTCTGCCTCATCTTTAAAAAAATCATAACTCTTTCATTACTTGGTATTTTTATACGAAACCAATTGGATTGGATAGCCTAATAAGTTAGATACTGAATAAAATTGGAATCATGTCAATCCAATATCGGTAAAAGGTTATATGTCACATAAAGTAAACTGTGTTGAGTGTTGTCTTTGTTTTTTAGCTTCTACCCTTGTTTTCAAAAATTCATAACTCAATCGTTATTTGGAATTTTTGGATGAAACCAATTGGATTTGATAGTCTCATGGATTAGCTACTGAATAAATTTAAAATCATGTGGTTTTGACGTCGGTGGAAATTTTATATGCCATTTTAATTGAACTGCACCGGTTTACCTTTCAACCGGGTCGCTGCTGAGTTTTGAAAAATATTTTAATACCCCATATGATGTGGACGGAAGCTAGTTTTTGAATATGTCATATTATAAGGAGTTTACTACCTTACATTAAAATTTGATGAAGTTTCAAGGTCGATAGCTATGAAAACAAATTTATTTTGACAATTACTGTTTGAGACAAAAAAAAACTGGAACAGCAACATTACTTTTTAAGTTTTGCCAAAATTTCATGTTAATAGTCATTACATGCATGGAACTCATTAAAAAAAAAACATTTTTGAAATTGTTTTCTTTTAGAATTGGAATTATTGTTTAAATAAAAAAAAAAGAAAATTCTTTAATTAAATTCTAAAATTTTAATCTTTATACTTTCTAATAAAAATATATTGAACTAACTTTACGGTTGAGGTACAATGGTTGAGTCACGTTTCCGTCCATGCGGGTCGGGGTGTTACAGGGGGTCTATCAAGAGCAACATTAGAGAACAGACAACACTCCATCTCGAAGAAGCATAAACAAGCTTCTCCATAACCATAAGAGCTAAAACTGGCAAACAAGGGATCGCAAAGCACAAAATTACACACAGCCTACAAAAATTGCAGTATTGAGATCCTAGAATATTATAGGCTGCATAAAATCTCACTTTGCATATATTTATGCTGTCATTCTCTCATTCATGCTTATTTAATCTCGACGTTCAACTAATTCAGCTAGCGGTGACAATGATTCTTCGCATTAGCTTCTTGCATATCCCACCTCATAGTCTAGCAAGCAACCCCTGTATTATCAATGCTGTCTCTACATCTTCCATTATTCCCCAATGGTTTGACTAATTTATTGTCCAGTTATCCCATATTATGTGCACAATTCTCCATTTTTGTGAACCAGTCTTTTCTCGAAGCAATACTTGAGTACATAATTTAGTTAATATTCCCAAACAAAAGATCAAACCACAGGATAGATGATCAAATCCTAGAGATGTAATCATCGAACTAAAGTGTGAGATTCAAGAAAGGTTGAAACTCGGCAAGTTTATCTTTCTAGCCGGTCTTTGACAATTGATGCAAGCTAAAGTAAGGTTCCTATCTTTCACAAGCTTAACATGTGTCCAAACTGGGTTTTCTTGCGTAACGGAGTGAATGGGGGTTCCACAAGCGAGCTTCAGAGGCTTAAATCAGTCTCATTTTCCAGCTGTTATATTATTTTCGTTTAATGTTTAAAAATAAACAAATTGCATGGAATAACACTGGGAAATTGACTTTTCAACCAAAAACCATTTTTCTGTGATATATAATGTTGGGTGAAGGAGCAAATGAATCGCTGCATGGTTCTAAATACACGGACTTAAAAGTAAAATGCAACCAGACATTTTTTTTTTTTTAATCCAACATGTGCCAGAGAAAATCTATGCTCCAAAGTGAAATGAATCCATGATAATTGTGTTTATCTAGCCCCTGTTTGGTGGGTATTAAAATCAAATTTTTAGTGAATTTTGATAAAAATTAATGAAATGTGTTATTAAAAAGTTGTGGGTCCAATGAAATATGTGTTTAAAATTATTTGTTGACTTTAACTTAAATTAAAATCTAATTTTAATCCCTACCAAATAGGGGCCTAATAAGAATTGTAGCAATGATTTGAACTCGATAACTGGAATAACTGGAATAAAAATCCCTAGTAAATGGAGAACAGATAGGAGTCCAGAGTTTTCACATTATAATTTTTGATAGACCAGTTTATCAGCATGTTATTAGAAACACTTGCCACTATGGTGTTCGATAGTTCTTGGTGAGCATCATCAAGTTTCACAGCCATTTTGGCAATTTTGTGTGACAGAACCTTCTGACGAGTAATCCAGTCAGCATTTCTCCAAATGCTCTTTGGAATTTCACTTAAACCAAAACCAAGAAGAAATGCACCAGTCACTAGCCCAAATGTATTTGAGCCTGCCATTGCCAAAGCCAGTATATCTCTAATCCTGCAAGTGAAGGTATAAACGATAGAAGGAAATAACATTAGAATTGAAGAAGAGAACCAACGTAACTATGCATGTTATAGTAAAAGCCTAAAAGGATTGCGATCCATCAACTGGCAATATTAAACAATGATATTTGACCAGTATACTCCACGTTAGTTTTTCTTATTTATTTATTTAATGCCATTATTTCTCGTTTCGTTCGTGTTTCAGGGGCAGTTGGAATGGGTGCAAGGCCTCATCTTGAGTTTATCAAGAAACTAGGTATCTAGTGTAATACAGAATGAGTTTGTCAAGCTATAATTCCAAATTCTTGTACTGAATATGATGCATGAGACTTTCTATAATACACAAAATCCTTTATAGTAGTTAATTATGAAAATTAGGATATCATTCCAAGAGGATAAAGTTAGGGGGATCAAATTGCATATTTACTTCTTTCGGTCTTTTCTTACAATCTTTAGAATCATGTATATAGAGACTCCGACACCTAGAGATAGTATGCTCCGTGATTTAACGTTTGATCTGTAAAGTGGAGTCACATTTATTTCTATCTATTACGGACAACATATGACTGCCTAAAACAACTAATCTTCCAACTGCTCAATATTCTAAAACATTATTAATAATTTAGAAAAACTTTCTAATGAATAACAGAGTAGAGTAGATTAAGTATATTTATCTAATGACATAAAATATTTTGAAGTTAAAACAATATTTTGTAATGGATGGAACTCTTATAGTTCAACAAATTAATTTCTTCGGAGTTTTTTTGTTATTAACTCTCACTTGGCTTTTCTCTTGACCTTCTTAAAAAAAGGCTTAAGACCATAACCAAAAAGGATTTTCACTCTGTTTAAACAGGCTTAAACAAACTCCCTTATGGAATACAACATAGTCAATTTAATTCAGATGATTACTTTATCTCTTGGCCATAAAATCTAAAATAAAGAGGCTAAGAGCGTTAGAGATATTCAAATAATTTTGAAAAGGGAATAAAAATTTATAATATTATTTCTGAATAAATTAACTGCTTACTTAGTGTTTCGTCTTTTAGGCCTTAAAGTAAAAGAGAATTACAAAGAAATAAGAAAGCACTAAAGAATTTACTTTAATTTGCGGTCTTTGAATTTACAAGGATTCAGAGAGATTTTTTATTACAAGTATTATAGAGTGTGCTTTGTGTTTTTTGTTGTGTCCTCTATTGTGTGCAATACATTAATATTTATAAGGAAATAATTGCTGATATATCACATCTACATCTTAGAAAAAAGTAAACAAAATTGTATATCTATACAGGTGTGTGATTTACAATTAATGGTATGAGCATTAGCTTTATACGTGTATGACTAGAATTTAAAAGTACTAAAGATTCTTTAAAAAGTTTGTTTCTTGTGAGCATACAAGGTCAACCTTCCATCATCTTAATTATTGTAATTGGTACAAAGGATATATTTTTATGAAAGTTAAGTTTTATTTTACATAACATTTTCATGATTCAAAGGCTAAATTCTGGGTCATTTCAAGTTGTACAATTGGTACCAAGATTCCACTCAAGTATCGCTTAAGAGGTCATGTATTCGAATCCTAGGGACGCAAAAGAAATCCGCGTGGGATAAGATGAGTTTAGGCTCTCCCAAAACGGACAATACGTAAGTTAATGGATTTGGTACAAAGGCCGGGTCGTTATAAAAACAATGTGCTTTTTTTAATAACCCGAGCCTCGTGCCCAAGCCGTTAACTTACATACTGTTCGCTATGGAAAAGTCTAAACCCATCTTACCCTTCACGAATTTTTGTCGCGTCCCTAGATTCCAACTCATGACTCAATTCATACTAGGATTCAACTTAAGAGTCTCTTAAGGGAAAAAGTTAAAGAGTTCAAATCCTAGGGACGCAATAGAAATTTGTGAGGGATAAAACGGGCTCGGGCTTTTCCATGGCGGACAATACGAAAATTTACAGCTTAGGCACGAGATTCGAATCGGAAAAAAAAATAATCATAAACAATGAGATGAAATTCCAATAAGTGAGCCACATAAATCGTATTCCATATTTAAAATTAGGAATTCTTAGCGCACATAAAGAGACAAGGGAATTAGAAACCAAACTTAGGTGACCTTAATTCCCACATATAAAATCATAACATACATAGGGAGACACGAGAATCAAAAACTGTACTTCTTTGCTATTCTCGTGCTTAGTGCTAAAGAACTCCGATCCCTTGAACTTATACATATAGGACCCATCATATTCACAACTTGGAATTCCATATTTCATCCTCTTGCACTAATATCCTAATTTTCATAATTAACGGCTATAAAGGATTTAAGGTTATTATACCCTCACTTCCAGTTCTCTATTACAATAAAGCCAATTTCTGCCTTTGCAGCTACATATCATTTTTACCTGTTCTAAGACCCCTTTTTCGTTCCAATTAGTTCATCATTGACAAAGATGCATGATAAATCAAAAGCAAAAAACATAATCATGTAACAAAGACCTAAAAAATCACCCACTAAAGACACCAGTCTTCTCTCAAAATGGCAACCAACAATTAACAAGGCAAAGAACATATGTATAAAGCCATACGATCTACAATCATTCAACCTGACATTAACATCCCACTGGTGAAGTAAGAGTTTCCAACTTATCAACCAATCCAGCTGGTCCGAAATGGAATAGAAGTGCTCCTCAATGGTTGGTTATGGACAAAACATTTCCACTCTTCCACTTCTCAATTAACTTCATGAGATGACCCCCACAAATATGTATCATGTTTAGGTAAACCCAATTACGTACCAAGAAAGGAAAATTATCAGACCAATAATGTACACCCATAAAACTTATATACGGCGTTCTATGCAGCAGGTTTCACTTGCTCCACAATTGCCAGAAAATATATACAATGAAGTGAAAGTAGTATAAGAGAAGAAACTAACCCAATTTTATCCATAACAATGAGGAGAATAAGCCCGAAAAGACCAATGGAACCCACAATTCAACGAAGTAAATTAAGCTCCTAAGAGTTAATCAAATCATTTCAAGCAATACATAAACTGAAATCCAAAATAACTTGCATACGACTACAGAAATTTAGCTGCCAAATTAGAATTTACCGTCCAAATGTCGGCAGGGACAAGGCTGATGATGGAAATGGAGCAGAACCAAGTGTAGCCCACTGTAAGAAACACGTAACGCGGTACTTCTGGACCGGCAAAGTATTTTAGAGTCAAGATCACCATGCCTAGGGTTAGCGGCAGGGAGATCAAGTAAAACACCCACATCTTCGATCAATTCCCCTATTTGTGTATTCAATTATAGTCCTATAATGTACAAATCAAATTAAGATGATATCAATAAGCCGAATCGGAAATCATATACATAGAAAAGGGGAATTTTGATCGAAACTCGAAAAGCTGAAAGATGGAGCGTTATGGAAGCGAATATGCACCAAATTCTGACTATTCCAGGTTTTCTTGGCCTCCCTCGGTGTGAGCACGCGCTGCCGATGCGTTTGGTTGGTGATGACGTCAGTGAGATTTTAGTTCAAGAACAGGTGAGGCCCCGTTTGTTACTTTTTTTTTTTTCAAAATATATTTTTCTCTCTTTCCTTTTTAACCACATATTTTATATTAAAATAATATTACAAGTAAATAAAAAAAAAATTTATTTTTCAACCACACATTTTTCGTCAATTTACTATTTAAAAATATATTTTTACATAAAAATATCTCCCAAACACCCACTAAAGAAGTGTTATTCTACTGGACCAATAGCTCTTGTTTGATTCTCATTCTTTACTCATTAAAATGAAAAATATGACAATTATCCATCATATTTGACTTTCTATCTCTTGTGTGGGTTCCATAACGACTATATTTTTCATTCTCATTCTTAAATCCATGGGAATCAAACGGGGCCTAAATTTTAAATTTTAATTTTAATAAAAGTCCATAATGCATTTCAGTCACATATTTAGGCCGTTGTTTGAGCCCCATTATTTTCTCATTAAGATTAAAAAAAAATATATGACCGTTATCTATCACATTAAGACACCATATTTGACTTTTTATCTATTGTGTGGAACTCGTAACAGCTATATTTTCATTCTCATTTTTACAATAATGTGGCTCAAACATTATTTTCCTTAAAATGTATTTTTTTAATAATGTATTGATGAAAAATATGTGGTTAAAAAATAAAGAAATTTTTTGAATTTGGGTGTAATATCATTTCATTAAACAATGTGTGGTTGAAATGATATCAAATCACTGTTTAAAAATGTATTTTTTTTAAATGTGGCTCAAACATGGCTTTAATGATCTTACAATTTTTTAATTACATATTTCATCAATTTCTATCAAATTTTACTAAAAATCTAATTTAAATCCCCACCAATTTGGAGCTTAAAAAAATTCGTAAGGTGCATAAAGTATCGGTGTCTTAACCTTTGTTTGCTAATGGTTTATAAATTCTTTAGGCAATCTTCAATGGTTGCACAAAAATTTGGATAAATTTTGCATCATTTTGAAACAAATTCTATACCAATTTGAAAATTATTTCCAACTCAAAACATCAAAATTACACAAAATAAGCAATACTTCATTATTTCCTTTATTTTTTAATTTTTAACAATTTATTTATCTCAAAAATTATTTAATTATTTTTTTATTACTACATAAATTACTAAATAAATAATTACATTTAGTTAACAAAAATATTGAATTCATCTTAGTATTATAAAAATCAAATCAAACCAACCTATTCGACCAAAAAATTGAAAATGGGTCCAAAATTCAATCTGATTTATTATCGATTTATTCACTAACCGAATGATTAAAAACCGGTTAATCCTCTATTTTAGGGTTGGTTAACTATTTAAAAACTAATTAGAGTTGAACATGCATTGCACGTATTTATAAAATACTTTGTAAATATGGTAAAAGTAATATTTGAAGATGTCTGAATATAAAAAATAGTTAATAAAATTTGTTTTATGTGGAATGAACTTTTTGTTCAATAAGAATCTCCTTGTACACTATATATATATATATATATATATATATATATATATTGTGATTAATGATATCAGATTTGATTAAAACCTTTGCAGTTGTTATAGAAAAAATCATTTTGAAAGTGCAACGTATAATTGTCAATGCGAGAATACATGTTATGGAAGATATATTCCGACCTGATTTTTATTTATTTTTTTGGAGGGGAGGGGGGCGCTGGCTTGTTGATTGTCATTGCGAAAAAAGAGATGAACTAGAAATTGCTTTCGTATGAATTTGAATATATATCCTTGGTTTCTACCTTAATATATGGGAAAAGTTTTTCAAAAATTTGTAAATATGCTAAGACAAAATTAGAATTCTGAAAAATCATATAAAATATAGAAAAAAGTTAAATACACACGAACATAGGAATTAATTACAGTAAATGATACAGCTAAAAAAAATCTTGCATTAAAAACATGTTAACGAATTCATAATGTTTATCAAAATAAAATCACATTTTCATTCCCATTTACATCTCAGTAGATATAAATCTAAATCTAGCTCTAATAAAAAGATGTAAATATAAATTTAATTTTTTTTCATGTTGAATTTTATTTTTGTATTTTTTATATTTTTTTGCTCATAAATCTTTTAAGGCTTTGTTTGAGCCTCATTTTTTTTTTTTAGAATTCATTTTTTCAAAAATCATTTTTAATCACACATTTTTCAGTAAAATAATTTTATACATAAATTAAAAAAAAATTCTCACTTATTAACCACACATTTTCAAAAAATTACCATTCAAAAATATATTTGGTTCTTGCTTATAAACTTGAAAAATTTGATCGTGGATAACTATATAATTGAAAAACATAGTCGATTGTTTGGTGAAATCACAACCCTGAGCTTTCTCATATTGATTAATTCTTCAAACTTGCATTAAAATCGTTGAATTCGTCATAACGTTCATCTTAAATTTAGTTTAAAACCATTGATACTAAATTATGATTATCTAGATAATAAAAGAAGCTATATTTTTATATTTGTGGGCTAAAGCGATATATGTGTAAATCTGATTTTAACTGGGTTAAATATTTATTTTTCAATAGAATTAGAATTAGTATACAAATATGGAGCTCAATACTTGTATTAAATAATAAACATTGGGCTCGAGAAATAATTATTTCAAATAAATTATGTCCACGTTTTCGAAGTTACAAGATTTTGTCTGAATCCATAAGTAATTAAATTAACATTAGTTTGAAAAACCTTCTAGCCACCCCAAAAAATAAATAAATAAATAAATAAAAAGTTGTCATAGGACTAGGATAAGGATTTCCCATATATGCACTTTTGCAAATTGTGATTATTTAAATTGTTTGTTTGCATTTATAATAATAGTTACCTTTGATTTGAAAAAGGTTATAATATTCGCGTTTATCTTTATGATTTGAAAAAGATAGAATCATATTTTGTTTCTCCATTTGATATCCACTGTGACAATATTATTTTTATTATTTAATAATATTTATTTTAAGATAGTTAAGAAAAAAAATATTTTATCATATAATCAATGTTTATCTTTGGTATTAAAAAAAGATATTTAATTATCTTAATTGTTATTTACCTCCCATCTACCAACAATTCAATTTTTCCCCTTGCGATTTGAAAACTTAGTAGAGAGAGAGAGAGAGAGAGAGAAAAAATTCTAGTTCACTGTGATTGATGGATGGATAGAGAAAATTGTCTTTATCTTATTTTAAAGATTTATTTGCCTTGATTTTGGATTTTAATAGGGATGTTGGCCACGTGTGAGTTTTTTTAGGTAGAGATAAATTGATTTCTTATAGGTTGATAAAGGTCAATCTAGGATTTAGTTAGTTAATTGCTGATGATAATATGGTTGGCAGACACGTTGATAATTTAAAGTGGTTATGATAGTTGATTAGGATAAACATAAATGATACACTTATTTCTTTCAGTTATAGTGAAACTAAATTTTCTTATACTGTATGGACCCGATAAATACACCCATCACGTCCAAGGATTTTTCACCCCAAAATATATGTACTTACACATGGTAGAAACAGTTGTAAAATCATAATAGTACCCACCAGTTGTATGCAATAGTAGAGAAGACATAGAAAAAGATATTAGAACGTGCATTCAGTTTTATATATATTTCAATAACGAGGTAAAATACTCTATGTGCAAGTGTTCCGTTTCCTTATGCTTTTATATTCAATTAAATATGTATAGATTGCTTGGAAACATTCTTTTTTTAAGAGATATGAAATTCTATGGGATTATAAGAGAACCTAAGATGGGTGTGTCGCTTGATCACCAATATACTCCATAAGATCAGAGTGGTATGAAATGTAATTTTTATTGTTATATATTTATATATGAAAACAGCACGTATTTTACTTGGTGTTTTCGAATATTCACTCTTACAAATTTTTACAGGTTAGTTTGAGTCGATTGGAATGGTGATGCGGGCTGCCAAGTGGATCAAAGGAAAAGAAAAAGAAATAAGTTTGCCGTTTTTAAATTTACCAATTAGTTTAATTTTGTTCAAAATGTGTTATTTGAATTAGTAAGGAGTTTATGTTATGTTTAGATACGATTTTCATGATTTAAATTTAAATTTATAAATGTTATAATTATTTGTTTAATAAAGAATTTTACTTTTATAATTCTGCACTTAAAATAAAGAATAGTGAGTTTTCGTAATGTTCCGAAGTTTATGAAATTTTGGGGCGTTACAATAGTACTTGGTATAAAATTGATATTCAATCACTATAGGTTCGATATCCTAAATTAATTGTTATATTACAAAACTTGACATTGTACACTTACGGTATAATTGTAGTATAAAAAACGCGTAATGCGTAGCAATATATATGTGTATACACACATTGCGAACAAATCACGATCTAAAAATTTTAAAATTTGATTAAGAAAACATAAAAGGTGAGTGTTACATATATGGTGAGGTTGGTATATGTATATACAATATGGTCATCTATATATGATGTCATATACACAAGCATACATATATATATATATATATATATATATATATATATATATATATATGGGTGTCTCATATATGTACACACCAACCTCACCGTATACGTAATCTTAACCAAATTTTGAAAATTTTCACCCAAAGAGTTCTACCAACACACTTCGTCCAACATCATCAAACCATACATACAACACATTGCCGTTTATGCACAATGTGTCCTTATCGTATATGCACAGCATGACATATTGTATATTCATATATCTATCATATATGTACAAGAATACCGTATATGCATGAGGGTACTGTATATGCACACACCAACCCTACCATACATGCAGCACTAGCTTTTTATGTGTTAATTTGACTGTCGTTCATTGAGCATCTACTGTCACATATTCTCCAATTTTCTTAGTA